TTGACCCTTTCCTTGAAACGAACCAAGACCATATTTTGCCTATTGACTTTTTCTACTGTTGATTTGATCCAATTCACGCGCCAATCGGTCAATTTCAGCTCGCAATTCATTCACATTGGTCGATTCCACGGTGAATGTTTGGTTTACCAAAACGTAAAAAATGGAATTTTAAGCAAACAAATTTAATCAAATTAATAATTTAATTCAACCGAGAAATTATTTTTTTTATTGATGTCGCTATGAAATTCAGGTTAGAATTAGCTTTAGAAAGGCAAAAGCGATTAGAACGGATAGATGAAACGCGTAGAGAACGAGAGCAAAGAGTAGTATCAATGCAAGAAGAACGGGAAAAAATGCGACAACAAATCGCGCGAGAAAAGGTAATAAAAGATTGTTTTTTTGTTGTTCGAGAAAAAAACATTCGTTTTATAACTTATTAAATGCGCAGTTACACAACAGTTTTATTTTTTATTCTTCATAATATAGGCACGTGACCGAGAAGAACGCTTATTGGCATTACAAGCACAACAACAACAAACAACCGAAGAGCTACAACGCAAAATCATTCAAAAGCAACAAGAATCGGCCCGTCGACACGAAGAGACTATCGAACATATAAGACAACGTGCATTGGAATTGAGTATGACATTTCCAAGCCGAAATATGGACGATACTAATTCGAATCGGAATGACAACTCAGATCATACACTGAACGATGATCTGTCGTCAGTTGTTTCGGATTTATTAATTGAAACAAAATCATCGAAAAAAAAGTTGAAAAGACTCCGTTCAAAAATGTTGGCAGCCGCCGATGATTACATGAATAGCCTTGAACCGCCACCAATATATATGAAACGGTATTAATATTATTTTTCAGCACATATTTGCTAAAGCACGACGACAATGACAGCTGGGCAACGCAGCAACTTCATTATGGTTGTCACTGTTTATGTTGGGTGGCACAAATTTGTGCCATTTTTGATTTAGGCGATCGAAGTTTATGCCATTTTTAGTTTCGCTGCCAACCGCACCATGGCGCTACTGTCAACGTTGAGTGTCGTCGTCGCGCTTTGATATTTGCAGTTTCTAGTCTAGTTTTAATATTTCAGAGATAGTGCAGTTCCAAAAATATTCGCTTTGATTAAAAAAAATGGAGGTAAACAAGGAATGGAAAGACCGCTAGGTCAACTATTGCGAACCATTGCCAAGGCCGAAGTATTTGATTTCCAATGTTTCTGGTTTGTTTTTTTTTTCTTCGTTTATTAACACGTTACCCGCTCAAATTGCCACAAATTTAGACGTCCGCCATTTGAACAGCAACAACAACAACAACAACAACAATCATTTATAGACCGATTGTACCTTTCGGTGTGTTGTCTTTTACGAAACGACTAGTCTCGAATTCCTCTTACAATTCCTCTCCAAACTTCCCTTGACCAACAAACACATAATATTAAATTCGTTTTTATTGGTATAAACCTTTATTCATAGGCTATTGAATAGCACATTCACTTTTCACTTAAAGGGCCATTGTCTTAGATTTTTCTCACTGTGCGTCAAAACTTCCAATCATGCTTTGGCAGACCGATTTGTCGATTTCTATCAACTTTCTCTCAATCTATCCAACCAATTGTTGCACGTTTCAAGTATGTCGGACCTTCGCCTACAACATACATCCAAAAACAGACATTGTTGTCTTTTTGTTAATTTAAAAAGATGGTCCTTTTTTAATGGAAATGCTATTTTTCATGGAGTGAGCCATTATTGTGGTTTTTTCTGCTTGCAAAGCATATTTTTGTCTTTAATCAGATAGTTTTCAACGAATTCTATCGATTTCAACAATATTTGGTTGATAATAGAGCAAGTAATGGAGGTTAACCTTACGTTTCAGCAATAAATTTTCGAATAATGGCTCTAAAACACCTTCCAAAGAAGATCCTACCACTTTATCAAAGTTCGGTTTGTCGACGTTTCTAGCCTTATATATAGTAGTGCCCTAACATAATCAATGCAAAAGAAACCACTTGCACTTGATTCATGGTTCGATATAGCAATGAATGTTTCACTGTCCAAAATGTTGACTTTTTCAATGCAACATGCTATGAGGCGAAGTGAACAGCCAATTTTTGACACTATTTGGAATTTTTTCGTAACTTATTTTCCTGATTACTTACGATCGTGTCTAAATCTATCGTTTTGGTTCAAATTTGGATGTGCTGTAACCATAAGAATCGACAAAAAATGAATGTTTGCTTGACCAACCAAGTTTTTGGCTCTTGGTGACAGTTTTGAAAGGTTTGAGCACTCAACTTGAGATTGGGAATACGACCGGACTTTTAGCTTTTTCTAGAATCTTTGTCTTCATATTAAATTCATGAAACACGATACATGGTTCGAAGACAAATTGGTTCATCTTTAGACATATGCAGAATTTATTTTGAACCTAGCCGCCAAAACCATTTGAGACACTTTTTCGTAAATCCAATTTGTACACCATTGCGAATGGATGTATTTCGTCGAATCGAGTTCAATAGTAGTTTCCAGTAACTGATAGACGTGCCGTGTGCATTGGTTAATATTTTGGTATTTGTTATTGCAGTGTAATAAACGCTGTAAGTTGTGCACATTTGAGTGGGACACGTCTTATATTTATAGTTAAGTGATTTATGTTTTCATAAATCCAGCTCGCCCTTTTTCAACCATAACTAAATGAAAACATGGAATTTTTTGTCCAATCATCAGGTTAATGGATGGACTGGGATTGCTAGCTCAGAATATAATAAAATCTGCTCTCGAACCGAACCCAGAAATATCGAGGAAGTATGTGAAAAAATAAAAATACCATCAAAACATTAAATCTCACTATTATTGATATATTTCAGAGCGCTAATAATGGCGATACAAATTTATCGTGATGCATGTTCACCTTGTATACAGATAGCTCGCCATGCAATTTTGGGAAATTCCGTTGCTATCTTATTTGATGTGTTACTTCATAGTCTGCAGGTAATAAACTAACAAGAATCCACATGTTGGAAAGCAATAAAATATCGATAAGTTTGATCAGTCATTTAATTTATACAATGGCATTTGAATGTGAATCATAGCGAAAGTAATATTCCTACAATACCAATCGATCATCATGAAATATGAATTTCAGTAGAATAAAATGGATTAAGGAAAGAAAAATAGAATAAAATGTCTTAGATCCGTAAGATTAACTTTTCCGCACTGTGATCCACAACATGCATTTGCTACATATATTTTACTCAAATTTAAATTCACGAGAAAACTGAATCTGACAATAGTTTTACGACACAAATAATTTTAATAATAATAATAATAACTGCACCGAACAGCGTTCCTTCGCCTTGG